GTCATCATTTACCCAGAATGCTTTGTGTGTAAATAAAATGGCCGCGTCCATGTAATATATTTTTAAACTTTTAGTTTAAAAATTGTAAAAACTAAACAGCCAAAAGTATTTTACAGTCTTTATTTTACAGTTAAAATATATGTTTATCATATAAAGTTTAATGTTATAAATCATGGATCCCTTTAAAGAAAAGCTAATGCATCTTTAACTCTTTTTTAGATCTTTAGTTAATTTTTTCATGTAATCCAATCTATTCTTTTCCTCTCTGCTGTCTTGTGTCTCAGATCTGTGAGAGTAAAATGCTACAGGAGAAGTAGATGAGGGAGAAAAGCAGGAAGAAAAGGGTCCACTGGTGATAACTCAAGGACGAGGTGAGCTTCCCTAAGTGCTGACCTCAGCATGGACACACAGTTGACCTCTGATTTTTTTTTACAACTACTGTACCTATTGCTCTCGACTTTTCTTTAGAATATGCAGCAACACTATATTTTCTCTGCTTTTTAAAAGATTTTTCCAGCACCCACACATGTATGCTGTCAACTTAATGGGGGTGTAACTGGTACCAATGAACTGACAGCTCTTCAGTCTTTGATATCTTGTTCAAACCCAGTCTCCCTGCTGGTGCTTTGATAAGCCACTAACTGGGACATTTCCATTCTAATTAGAGCCTCATTTGCTAATTTCATATCGCCTGGCTGTAATTATCAGTGGGAAATATATAATTTGTGGGGCTAACGGATGTTTTCTCTCTGTTCAGAGGTAAGTGCTTCTGTTTATCTGATGTGACAACTTTTTTTTATTGTTTTATTCATAAAGGAGTTTGAAGTTGAGACAAATTTAAGCCCAGAGAAAAAAAATTAAAAGATTTTTTTCATTATGTTTGTTTTTTAAACATTTCCTCTTGTAACAAACTATTTAAGTGTACTCTTAATACCACTTTGTTCACAATCTGTGTTTAATTTAGAAAAAAAAAACATTTTAAAAAAAACAAGCAAATTATCATTAATTTTCTGAACGGTGTGTCATAACAGTAGCAGTTAATTGTATGATGTGATTGTTTAATAAAAACTGCTGCACATTTCAGCTGACTGTTGACTTCTTTAAGAAACAGCTTAAGATACTGTTGTTCACACAAGCTTTTAGCTAAATGTATTGCTTAACGTTTGAGTCATATTAACTTGTTTTTATTGTTTGCTTTTATGATCTGATTGTATGTTTGTATTTATTTTAGTTTTTCTTCTTGTGAAGCACTTTGTGATGTCTATCTGTGAATATATAGATAACATTTAAGTACTTAGTCCCACGGGTCTTCAGCTGGAGACAAAGACGTGACTGAGTGATAGTTGTGCTAATGGTTAGTGATTAACGGTTTGTGTTAGCCTCCTGTAATTTTAGTTGTTTAGCCATTTACCATTAGCTTCCGTAATTTTTTTTTATGCTAACAGGTTTCATGTTAGTGAAGCTACACTTTTAGTTGGTGGATTATGAGTTAGCAAAGCTAACTTTTTGGTCAGTTGTGCTCACAACTGTGCGTGTTTTTGTACACTCTCAAATGATCAAACAATCTTCATGGATTAAACAGAGTTTCAGTGTTAACATCAGAGCAGAAAGGGATGTGTTTCTACACATCCGACTTGAGGAATCACAGGAACGTTTAGATGAAAGTTTTGCTGGAGGGTCGAGGTTAGGGCTGCCATGATTAATCGATTAATCGACGACTCATCGATTATTAAAATAATCGATGGCTAATTTAATAATCGATTAATTGTTTTCTTTTTTTTGTTTTTGTTCTTTACTTTGTTTTTCTCTCCAAACTGCTTTGACACCTTCCACTGCCACATCGGCCTTTCTGTCCTTGACACACATGCACAGTAGTGGTAACTGGGGTAGGCCGTGGACGTCACAAGACATTATACAGACAGGCTCTGGTAT